CGCTGTGAGTAAAACCACGGGCCGTAGGTGACCGACTGGTCCCCTTGATTTGCCAGGCTTTTGTAACGGAATAAGCGACCCACTACCGATGCTGTTCAGGTACATACATAAGTTTTTAGAGCATGGCATACATGTACATAATCATTATTGAAAAGACTACACATTTTTTGTAAGTCTTGTTTGTACAATACTAGTCATTTACTTGCAAGAGCAGGCGTTCCAGTGCTAATGCCGTGATCATGGTACATGTAATGGCATTGCGTAATGGCAACCCGCAGACTCAGAGAGCAGTGAGCGGGTCAGGTGGATTACCATGCATGATATGCAAGCATCCAGTGTGTATCCAGTGTGTACTACATGTATACTATTGGTGGTACTATTGTATAATGTTGTTGGTTGTTGACAGCATGTATTCACAACAAGGTGGAGGACACCGTGTTCGGAAACAGTAACCTTTCTACAACCATCCATGGTTGCGAGAGCCCCGGTCGGTTGCGACCATCTGAACCGTATGGGTGTTAGACCCGGTTCTGGCCCTTTCTATTCTAGGGGAGTTGTCAAAACAAGGTTTATCTGATACCATATATAAAATGTACTATTGTAGTACCTATAGTTGATAAGTATGGTGGTAAAACACACCTGGCAATATGGCGGTAAACACACGCCTGCCCAGTGCCCACACACGCTCTCTAAGCTGCAAAGTTCTGGCACAGAGCTCTCTATTGTAGTACCAGACGATGACTATTGTACTTGTAGTACCAGTCCTGTTGTTGGTTGGCAGCATGTACGTAACAAGTAAAGGTGGAGGACCACGGTGTTCGTGAACAGTGACCTTTCTACAACCATCCACTCCACCTTGTAACATGCTGTTAACCAACAACATGTTTCAACAAAACAAGGTTTTTCTTGTTGTAGTGTAACTCTGCACTCAGTATACTGTCTACACTGTCTGTATTGTATTTTATTATTTTACTTGGGCATTCCCAACAGACCCTAAGGTCTTCTTACAGGGTGCCCAAGATGTCTGTCTGTGGCTGTTCATGGTTCACCATGCCCGTGGTTTACCAGTACAACACGCTTCTAGGACCGCCCGTAGAGGTTTTCTAGGATGTTTTGTCTACTGCCTCCTCTGTTTGCACTGGCAAGTGGCAGAACTACCCTGCCAATCCTGGTCGATCTACTGGGCGTTTACGAAATAATCTAATGGTTTGCCTCGAGACATCGCAAGCCTCTTTAACGGGCAAAAATTCACACAATGGATTAAAATACAATACAAGTACAAGTTTACCTGGGAACATTTTCCATTTCTTGATAGCACTCGTGGTAGTGCTCATATCTACTGAGTGTAGTGTAGCGGCAGAAGAAAAACTGAATACATGTACATGTAGATTCCCTTATCTCTGATATCAGAACATCGGCGCAGAGAAGCTCCAGCCGGAGAGTGGCCGACAGATTGGAGAAGAGCTGTGTTTGTGGCCTTACCGAGAAAGAGTGTACTAGTACATATTATCGTACCATTTCCCTCATCAGCCAAGCCAGTAAAGTGCTCAATCAACAGCAGACTGAAGTGGAAGATAAAGGAAGAAGTATCAGTGATGCAAGCTGGCTTTAGAGATGGAAGAGGTACTACACGAGATCATACTTGCCAACCCAGCCTAAGCAAATCCCTTAGTCACACACCCAGTTTCCCTTAATGTTCTCTCATTTCTCTTATTTCCTGGTGAGATCATATTCTGAATCTGAAAATCATCATGGAGAAGCATCGGGATCACAACCTTCCACTATTCTTGTGTTTCCTTGATTATAGCCAGGTCTTTGATTGTGTGGAACACAACAAGCTATGGCGTATCATGATTGAAATGGGTTTTCCTCGCCATCTTGTCAGATTGGTCAGTATTCAACTTATTCGCAGAGCAGGAGTCAGGAGTGAGTATGCAAGACCGATCGTTTACGGATTGGTTCCGAAGAACTTTAATAGGCAGAGGAGTTCGTCAAGGGTGCATTTTGTCGCCCAACCTTTTCAGCATAATATACTGAGAGAATTATGAGAGAAAAGTTGGAGGGCTTCGGCGGTGGAGTCTAGATAGGCGGACGCCGGTACACTGAGCTTCGGTACGCGGATGACACCGTGTGGTTTGCTGCAACGAGAGATGATATGCTGGAGTTGATGGAGAGACTGCAGCGGGTTAGCGCTGAGCACAGCTTGATGTTGAATGTGAAAAAGACAAAGATTATGGCGGTAAAAGATGATACGGGAGATCCTTTCACCTGCAATGGGGGAGTGGTTGAGGCAGTGGAAAGCTCTACATACCTGGGAGCACAGTTCGACATCTCCAGCAGCACAACAGCCGAGCTGAGACGTCGTTTGAACCTGGCAAAACAGACAGTTAGCAGGCTATAATGATCATTGAACCCATTTGGAAATGTAGAAAGGAGAAAGGACATGGAAACAAGTTAAGAGTAACTCTCCACCACTGTAACTAGATACTATATACAGTCAGAAAGTGCAACAACTAGGCACAAAACTAACAGAGAACTGAGACATTCGACGTCCTGACACCTAGCTTCAACACATGTCCGTAGCGCTAACCGACAGCCTTCCAACTCGGAAGGTTCAAGGTTAAGGAGAGACCAAAGAGGGGAGGTAAGCGCAACGAAAATGAGCACAAGCTACAGTCCCAACGGAACAAAGAATGTCGATTGTTACTGGACGATGACGAGACCAGTAAGATACTTGACAAAGCTTATTGGCTCAATACCCGAGTTACCATTTGGAAATGCAAAAGAATATCGAAAGACATGAAGTTACGACTGCTGCGGACAACGGCGTTTTCCGTTGCCAGTTACGGCTCGGAGGCAGGTTTATCGTAAGCGCATTTTACAGCATCGATACTCGTGCAATGACTTGACCTTGAGTCCTTGCGCATTAATTTTTATTCTGCTTTTCTCTTCTTTTTGTCCTCCCTCTCTTACCGGTTTTCCCATCCCACGTATCTCATCACTCAAGCGAAAACAGGAAACCCTCTCGACAGGCGAACAGCCTTTGGGGAATCCTTAAAAAAACAAAAAAAACACAAAAAACAATACAAATACAAATCATGAAGTTGATTGTTCCAACTAGGAACACACGCTTCTTGCCGCGTTTGTCGCGTTTGTCGCGTTTGTCGCGCCGGAAACAAAGCGTCTCTGTAAGTAATTAGTTTGTATCCCTGGTGATGGTTTGGCCTGGAGAGCAGTATATAAGTGGTGCTTTTCAGGCACAATCTTCCTCAGCCTACTCAAGCTCAACTGATGAGGGGTGAATTCCCCGAAACACCGTGTATTGAGCAGGGAGTGGTGCTTTCTTGCAGGTTTGCCGAGTGGAAGGTGCGACGTGCTCCTCGTGTGCTCCGGATGGCAGTCGTGAGTCAGTCAAGTGTCAAGTTCGGCAAGAAGCGTGTGTTCCTAGTTGGAACAATCAACTAAAATTACTTCATGACTATTACCGCCGAAGTCGCAACTTCTAAGTACAAATACAAATGCGAATTAAATTCAGTAGTTTCCCGACTATGCCGACATATACTCAATCTGCGGACAGCATGCTGTTTCGTTCTTTTTGAACTCATCAGCGCAGCACAGAGAAATGAGGCCGAACCTGATAGCAATGGAAATAAAAATTTCCAATCAGGCCCGAACGTACCTTGCCAGAGTGCTCAAACTGACAAGTCAGTGAGCTCTGCATAACGCAAACAGCAAAGGCACTACCCCACGCAAGAGTGCTCAACTGCTACAAGAGCAGGAGCGAAATACTCAATCTGCGGACAGCATGCTGTTTCGTTCTTTTTGAACTCATCAGCGCAGCACAGAGAAATGAGGCCGAACCTGATAGCAATGGAAATAAAAATTTCCAATCAGGTCCGAACGTACCTTGCCAGAGTGCTCACAAGTCAGTGAGCTCTGCATAACGCAAACAGCAAAGGCACTACCCCACGCAAGAGTGCTCAACTGCTACAAGAGCAGGAGCGAAATACTCAATCTGCGGACAGCATGCTGTTTCGTTCTTTTTGAACTCATCAGCGCAGCACAGAGGAAATGAGGCCGAACCTGATAGCAATGGAAATAAAAATTTCCAATCAGGCCCGAACGTACCTTGCCAGAGTGCTCAAACTGACAAGTCAGTGAGCTCTGCATAACGCAAACAGCAAAGGCACTACCCCACGCAAGAGTGCTCAACTGCTACAAGAGCAGGAGCGAAATACTCAATCTGCGGACAGCATGCTGTTTCGTTCTTTTTGAACTCATCAGCGCAGCACAGAGAAATGAGGCCGAACCTGATAGCAATGGAAATAAAAATTTCCAATCAGGCCCGAACGCACCTTGCCAGAGTGCTCAAACTGACAAGTCAGTGAGCTCTGCATAACGCAAACAGCAAAGGCACTACCCCACGCAAGAGTGCTCAACTGCTACAAGAGCAGGAGCGAAATACTCAATCTGCGGACAGCATGCTGTTTCGTTCTTTTTGAACTCATCAGCGCAGCACAGAGAAATGAGGCCGAACCTGATAGCAATGGAAATAAAAATTTCCAATCAGGCCCGAACGTACCTTGCCAGACATATAGATTGAAGAATATTCACTCAGGCTTCTCTGGATTGCCCGTCAAAGAGGCCCTTCTCCATAATGATGTGCGTAAGCCACGCCATATCAAGTGGCGCGAATTTTGACAACTTGTCCGTACAGTCAGGCCATAACTTAGCATAAGTCAGTTTGTGTTGGACTCACGAATGTCAAGATGCGTAGCCGCACGTGCCCGAATTCCTAGGGCAGCATGCTGCTGAGCCCTGGCACTCCGGCCCGGGCAAAGATTTCCTCGCGGAGATAGCATCATGCTCCACGATGTCAACATGAATTTGTTTACCCGTGGTTGATACAGTCATGATAAACGTAGTTCCATGCTATGCTCAGGCCAACATGAACACATAATTGATTGACTCCGCCTGGTACTATAATACTAGATGATGCCCATCACTACACCGACACGGATCCTAGTCCTAGAGCGGGTCTAGACGGGCTACACGCTTTGTGAAATGAGTACGGCTTCCGTGATCACATAAAAGCGAACGTTGGCCGCGGAGAAGGACTTGGTGGTGACGAGCTGCTCACAGAACAGCATCGTTGTTCAAGCGGAGCTATTCTGAAACAACCAAGGACCGCGACACGGCTCGGCATGGTAGCGTCACAATGAAGTCTTCAGTCAAATCGAAGCACATCCCGCGCGCCATCCTTTACGCTCTGATCATAGTCACTCTGTTTGCAGTTGATCCGAGCGTATCCTGGAGGCGCCGACGGCGGAGGCGGTGCACCACGAACAACTGGGGAGGTTGGAGTCGGTGCTCAGTAACATGTGGAGCGGGAACACAGAAAAGGTATTGTGAAACACAAGAGGGACGCACAAGTTATCCATAGCGTTGGAAAGTATTATGCTTCTGCATCGGTTAATGAGTGCAGTGGTCTGGTCAGGGTTGAGATGTGCCTACCGGGGCAGCACCAACATAATCATTAGCAGTAGCAGTAGCAGTAGCACTGACTTAGCTGCTTACCAGGATTACCAGGATTACCAGGATTACCCTCACTCCTCCGCCGTAGTCGCTTACAGTGTAGGCCTACGTACATGTACGTGTACATGTTCAGCGAAATCTGATTCTGAGAATTTGCGCAATCTGCAGAATCTGGAATTCTCAGATTGCGCGGAACCTACAATACATACAGGACTAAGTCTCTTGTTTCACGGTTCTGGGTAGTACAATGGTCATCTACTTGCAAGAGCAGGCGTTCCAGCACTACTGTATTTTTCGGAGTATAGTGCGCACCTTTGTATAACGCGCACCCCCAATCATTCATTGGGGGTGCGCACTTCAATCTTCATTGACATACATGCATTTCATATTCGGAGCATAGTGCGCACCTGCGATTTAGGGCCTAAAATAGCACATCTAAAGTGCGCACTATACTCCGGAAAATACGGTAATGCTTGGCAATGCGGAATGGCAACCCGCAACCCGGTGACTCAGTGAGTCTGGGACTCAGCTCAGTCGGAGAGTCAGTGTCGAGCGGAGCGGGTCAGGTGGACTACCATGATCTGCAAACATGCAGTGTGCGATGCATGTACCTCCTCTACACTGTCTGTGTCTGAGCATGGGTTTGTTCACACCGCCAATCGTGTGAAACCATGAAGGAAGGACCAAAGCAAAAAAGACAACTGTTATGTCTGTGGCTGTTCAACTACCATGGCATGCCTGCCAGTCACCATGGTCACTAGTCATTGTACATCTACTGCCATACTGGGCTTTAGGCCGATTCCACACTACGCCGAAAGTGGCTTTGCCTTGAAGGCATAAAGTGGCTTATAAAGTGAAGCTGCATTCACACCTACAAGTGTCGATCACGGGACTTTGCTTTGAAGGTTAGACTGTGAGGCTTTCCTGTGCTTGATCTAGCAACGGCGGTAGTGGAGAGGCTCTTTGTTGGGCCAAATCCTCGAATATCACCCATTTTCGCGTGCCCAATCTTGAAATTTGACCACGCTAGCGCGCGCTGTGTAGGCGGATTCCAGATCATAGGTCGAATATTTGTCAACCTCGCCAACAGGCATTCCGGTGGCAGTTTTCGTTGTGTATGTCTCGTACAGTCCTTTCGCCTTCGTTTTCATGTTGTCGATTTTGGAATGGACGATCGACGCAGTGTATTGCCTCCTCCCGGAGCTGTTCAGCAAACAAATTCAGCTTGATGGCGATCTCCTCCGGCGTAGCTCCTGCGAACTGTACCGGCCGGAGGTCGCCTCAAATATCCGCTCCAAAGCTCGATCAGCTTGCCCTCAAGCTCCTGGCTAAACATGACCCTAGGCATTGTTGACAGCTCACAACTCACCACGACTGAAAGATACGACAGGGAACACATTCGGAAAAAATCGAAAGGCTGAAGAAAAGTCAGAAAAGTGTCCTGAAAAGGTAAAAAGTTGCCTTGAAAGAGGGTGCTGGTGTTGCTTTGTAGACAACAAGCACTTTTCACTTTCGCGCGTTTCTCAAAGTGATCACCATGGCAACTTGCCTGAAAAGTGCCTGAAAAATGGCTTTTTAGGCAGGATTTGGTGTAGTGTGGAATCGGCCTAATACGCGGTTTACCATGACCATCGGCATGATGACCATGCATGGCATGGGTAAGGACGTAGAGTCTACGTAACTCAATGAGTCTGTCGTTTACCTCGGGACAGCTTCCATTTTCTGATCGTAGTGTCTGGACTGTCTCCAGTGGTCTCAGTGTCTGTAGATCTACTGAGTCTGTAGTGTAGAGTAGTATTGTAGACCTGGTAGACTGTAGCGACAGAAGAAACTGATTAGATTCCCTTATCTGATCACCATGATCACTGATAATATCAGTGAGGCGCAGAGAAGCTCCATGGCATGAAGCAGCATGGAGCCTGTACTCGCGCGACATGCAGCAGCTGGGGATGGGAATCCTGGTTCCCGGCAGTCAGTAGTCTTTACTACAGTTTTACCTAGGCTAGAATAATGGTAAAACGGTTCTGCTCATACTCGAGGCATAGACGACAAAATAATTATTATGATTGTTTCGTATTGAACTAACACTTGTTGAACTCCAAAAAGCTTGCAGGCAGAAAGAACGGGTGGACTGTTCTGTGTAATATTTGGCCGCAATGTTTATGAGGGAGGTGAACATGGTGAAAGCAGGATGAACAGAATCATTGGCCTTAGAAGTAGCTTAGTAGCTATGCAAATTTGTATGAAAGGATATTATGAGCCCCTGTCAAAAAGCTGTTGCAGCGAAGTAGATCGAGATTGTCTATTGAAATGCAGTCTGTAGCGAACATTCACTTTGCGCTCCATAGCTCAATGTAGTGCACGCCACCAGCTCACTACTCCACTGAAGCTATTACTGAAGTACATGTAAGCATAATAATCATTGTGCTGCATTGGTGTTGGTGATTTGGGCCAGTCATGGAGCATCCTGGAGGCTTATTAGTAGACCTTGCAAAGAAAATTGACCTCAATGGTATCAGGCAATTAGGCAAATGTACCTGCTTGTTCTGTAACTTTGAATATTTAACCAGACAAAAACTGCTCTGAGCAGGTATTTATGTATGTATGGTGTTGTTTTACTCTGGTGCAATGATGTGTAGAAAACGCACCACCAACTGTGGTGGAACCGCCACTGAAGGAAACCGTCAGTGTTCCCCGTTCGTTTTCTGTCCTGTTGACTGTCAAGTCAACGCGTGGAAGAATGTGGGAAGCTGCACGAAGACGTGTGGAGGTGGTGCTATACTGCAGACAAGGTATTGTGATGGCTTGCTAAGTTTGTATTGCGACATTGTGGCAAAGTGGGATTAGATTCACGGCGGAGCCTTGTTACAATGCATAGGTTTATCATCTTAAATTCTTTCTGAGGAACAAATCTTTTAAAAGGACTGCACCTCAATCTAAGAAAAGAGTAGCCATTCGTTCACTTCAGATCACTTCCCTGACGGATGATCAGTCATTAACTGCGAATTGTTTTGGTTTTGTTCCGAAACTCAGGACTACCAAACAGAAACCATTTTTCGGTGGAAAGGCATGTCCTGTGTTGCATCAGTTAGCAAACTGCGCAGTAAGCCCCTGTCCTGTGAGATGCGTCTACAATTGTAAGTTTGGCTAGTTGTTGTTCATGTGAACATTGTAGTTGTTGCTGTTGCTGTTGCTGCTTCTGCTGCTGCTGCTGCTGTTGTTAGTGGCGTGTTTGCCTTACTTTACTATTGCACCACAATCTCCCCACGTAGTCTAGAGAGTTACGGTGACTGGCCATTTTCAGCACTGTAGTCGTTATGACACTCAAGAAAGAGCAAGCTTCCGGTTCCTCATCGTCAGGCGAAATTACTGGTCAGTCGGCGACACGCATTTTTCACAAAAAATTGCGTTTCACCTGCTGGGAGAGTATGCATGTACTCGAGTCTCATCCTGAGCACGTTTTTTTCTTCTTTTTTTCAGCTCCAGTATAGCTGTATTTTTCATTGCAAAGCCGTCCTCGATTCGTTGTTCAAACGAAGTGGACATTCAATCATGAAGGCAAAGGACATAGGAGCCTGATTGGAGTTTCTCGTGGCATAGGACGGCCACACAGAGACACTTTGGGATTTTCTGAATATAAAATACCGTACCCACGATGCTGAGATCAATTTGTGCGATATCAAATTGTTTGTGATCTACCGCATCGAGCAGAACGGGATCCAAACACAAGCTTACCGACGGTTAGGCTGCCGACCTGACTGGACAAATGATCCCTGGCTTCACCAGACGCCAGAAGTCGGACACCATGTGCTTTGCCGCGACGTCCATCTCCAAAAAGAACTCCATCTTCGTCGTGAAAAGGCTTGAAATACTCAATATTCAACCGAGATTCGCGGACTCGCGCTTTTTCGGATCGATTAATTTCCTGTTGGAACAGTTGCAGGTCAGCTTCCCGCCTCTGTTTCAACAGGCGATGGCTCCAAAGCATGCCTGGAACAAGCCATATCGAGGTTGCAAGCCACCCCTCTCAGCAAAAAATTCGAAGAAATTCGAAATTTCAATGGTGGAAGATATACTATGAAGAGAATTTCAAAAAGTATGTGTCACGGAGCGATCGCTCAACCTACGTCATTCAAACTTTGCAGAATGGTTCAGACGTACATGCTAGGCATGGAACCATAGGCGATGATGCCATAGCTGACACACAGAGTAACACACACAGCAGATTCGTGTGCACAGATACTAAATTAGTGGACGTCGTCATCTTCTTCCCGCTGATCTCGAATGTACTATGACGTGCTATTTCGCCTGACGGATCAACATTCGTAAAGGTCTTCCACTAGTACTTTCATTACCTTCTGGTCAGGCGAATTACAGGCAAAAGGAACTGACCAAGTGCGATGAATTATTATATACTCAAAATTATTTGGAAAACCTTACACACACCATCTTCAATCCAAGTTGTCTCTTCGCTGCAAATTACAATAATTATCTCAATCAAATTTTCGGCCAGGAGCCATCATCAGGATTATTGACAGACAGCGAGAAGACATCTATTCTACTATTGCAATCAAAGGGACAAGCTGAATCGACATACTGATACTTTCTTGGTCAAAAGACATGACCACGGCAAAAAAATACAATGAAACAAGAATCGGAAGACCGAGGTAGCTCTGTGCTGCTGTCTAATACGTTGATGTATCCAGCTAATGTCTCTGCTCCGTTCAGGGAATTCAGAATAGGAAGACAGCTGTACGACCCGCTTTTCTTCTCTTTTAAAGCTATTATTCATTTTCTTTTGCCCTACTTTATTATTATTTTCTCGTCCTTCGCTTTCTTGTATTATTGGGCAACCTGCCCGTTAGAATCTGCAACGTAAAATAAACAACAACAACAACAACAACAACAACAACAACAACAACAACAACAACAACAACAACAACAAGGAATACAAGTGGGACTAGTTGGGACTAGTTACAATATTTGGTTGGAGTCTTCTGAGGTAACGGGATTAAATTAAAGCTGGAGATCGAAAAAGAACCTGCCATTGCTTTGACTGATCCTCCAACAACACAGGCCCAACTGAGCAAGACCAGCATACCAGTAGCATGAATACAGTGTTCAGTTGGTATCAATGTACACCTTCAAGTTCAAATGTCAGTAATTCCATTGCAGGAGAGCCTTGCACCATGTGCACTGTATTGACCCAGCAGCCTCTCCTTCAGCGTATCTTGTAGTGAGGGTGGTGACCTTAAACAGACAGACAGTACAGGTACTCCTTAACTCCTCTGTCTTGAGGAACTGGAAGACTCGAGCTGGGAACACGTATAATCACAAAGAAACCAAAGGTGAAGAGAACTGTCATATCTGTTGGCAACATATGTCCCGACTCGGGTGGCCTGGGACAACCTACAGAAGTTTGTTTCCGACAGGGGAGCAGGGAATGGTGGAGGTATAGTTGGTTTTCATGGCTTTATGCACTATCAATATGTTGTTGATACTACAACAGCAAGAGGGTCCATCGATGCAGGGAGTCTTCACCTGGACTGCAAGCTCGACTTCACAGGGAGTCTTCACCTGGACTGCAAGCTCGACTTCACAGGGAGTCTTCACCTGGACTGCAAGCTCGACTTCACAGGGAGTCTTCACCTGGACTGCAAGCTCGACTTCAGGCCTAAGCACATGTACTTCCGGGAATGAAATTTTGACACATTTCAGAAAACTGACCGGCGAGTGAGCTTGTTGTTATTTCAGAATGCAGCAAAGTCGATGTAATGCTGGAATGGTTAAATTCTTATCTATTTTTGTTTCCACCCCTTGAAAAGAGCTTTCTGCACATTCTGATGTTTGATTCAGTGTGGGCAGCGTGGAGCACATGCCCTGGTTGCGGAGGAGGAACACAGCAGACGCGCACGCGCACCGTGACCTTGGCCACTCTTGGTTCATCATGCACCAGCACATCGCAGTCGCGCAACGATTACTGCAGGAAGTCATGCTGCGCTCAAAATTGCATAATGAGCAGCTGGACCAATTACGGCTCTTGCTCTGTGTCCTGTGGCTATGGGATAAAGGTACTGTAGAAAAGCGAGCCTTTGTGAGCAGTCACAGGTTAAAATGTGGTAAAACAGTTTTGTTCTTTGAGAGGGATACTTTGATGGAAGGGTTCATTTCGAAACCGAGTGTGCAGATCCCACTTCAAACTTTAGCTCGGAAATGTTTTGTTAGCCATTCCCAGGTGACAAAATAGAGGAATATTTGTACCTATATGTACACACTACTTCCAATTGCTAGTTTCCCTATATGGTAGATGCCTATTCTCATTTCTTTTCCAGCAATTTGCCCCAGGCCATAGAAACCCCAGGGTTAAAAAGAGCTATGCCTCAAAGTTCGTACAGATATTTTGGTCGGTTTGGCTCTGAGGTTTGTTCTAATACTGAAATAATTGTGAAATTAGACATAGTTTGGGGAAGACTTACCTAGTGTTCTGTGACTTCCGTTTTAAAAAGTTTCCCATTGGATCAACTTCAAACCCCAAGGAAAGCCTGGATGTCCTGTTTCAAGATTGCACTGGTGTTGGGATGCTGGGCAGGAGTGCGGTGGGAGTGGGTTGAGATGGTGATGTTTTGTATGATTGCGGTTCCTGTGGGAGTGCTGGCCGGCCATGTACATCGCGCAATTGACTTTGACCCACAAGGAAGCATTGAACCGAACAGTAATCTCATATCTCCAATTCCTTTTTTTACAGCAGCTCTGAATTATTGGTGATATGGCTCACTGCTGCTGCCTTTCGAAATTCAGACTTGTTCTTGAAATGATGAAGATGACATGATTAGTCTTCCTGCCTGGTTCTGCGTACATAATGAGGCATTTGTGTAGTCTTATCTGCCTTCCATATTTTTTCCAAAAAATTATAATGAGGACATGGAACTGTATGGAGGTGACATTGCCTGGATCAAATGGGATACCATCACTTGCCAATGTCAATGCTCTAGAGTGCAATATTCACTTCCAAGAGTTTCTACTGTGGCTGCAACGTGTTCAATAATTTTCCAATTAATAACAAATCCTTGCAATTGTTATCTGCTTGTTATGTACTTTTGCCAACACAACAGTGGCGATATCGATCCGTTGTACGTAAAGCAGCTTGCGGTGGGACAGCTTGTCCTAAGTTACTGTCTTGGCACACATCATGTAGGGCGAAGCCAAAGCTGGATTGCAAGGTAGGATGATGTTGACCATGTTGATAGGCAAGTAGCCAACGTCGGCTCAACTGATACGTGTCTGTTGGATTAGGCTACTATTAGTTGGGTTGGACTACCATTAGTTGAATTTGATTACCATCAGTTGAATTTGATTACCATCAGTTGAATTTGATTACCATCAGTTGAATTTGATTACCATTAGTTGAATTTGATTACCATCAGTTGAATTTGATTACCATCAGTTGAATTTGATTACCATCAGTTGAATTTGATTACCATCAGTTGAATTTGATTACCATCAGTTGAATTTGATTACCATCAGTTGAATTTGATTACCATCAGTTGAATTTGATTACCATCAGTTGAATTTGATTACCATCAGTTGAATTGGAAGTCAAACATCTTACAAAGGTTTTGCCTAGATATGACACAGCGCTTTGGACTTGAGTGATGATCAGCAGGGCGCAGATCCTAGCTAAGAGTCTACTGACCCTGTTTTGCTCTACACCCCAAGAGCTCAAGTAGTCTGAACATTTTGATAGCATCGAATAACAAGCTCGACCACTGATGCTCTAATCACTAGGCTATGGTGCAGTGGTGTCATGCAAACTTGTTGTTCAGACTTTGAAACCCACTCCTCCTGTGAATGTCATAGCATGGTGAGACGCAGCTCTCAATGTACCCACTTCATGTACAAACTAGCATGCGGCGGACGTAAGTTTGAGGGAGTTTGTTTGAAGTTTTATTTTACATCGCAAACCAAACGGGCATTGATGCCCAATATTATGATGGCGATAGAATAAAAAGTTGAAAATGATTATGTCGAACAAAAAAATTGACTGCCACTAACAGGACTAGAACCTGGATCCCAAGGCTTTTTTTTACAACAATGTTCTGACTATTTTCAGGTGAATAGCTGGGGAGGTTGGACTGTGAAACCCTGTAAGCCATGCCTTGCAGGCGATCAATATCGCTACCGCTCAGTTGTTAGTCATCCTCAATGCGGTGGCACGCCGTGCCCTGTTCTCACCGACAGCCGAAGTGCAATATGTCCAACGTGCTGCCCAAAGAGCTGCACGTGGAGTGCGTTCAACTCCTGGTCTACCTGCTCCAGCACATGTGGTACAGGCCGGCGGTAAGTTCACCGTTGTAGCGCTATGCGCACTTCCATGCTGCTAGTCTTGCGGATGGCCATTGTTTTGTGAACACCCTGCTCCAAATGTCCACCACCAAGATCCCATGCAGCCGTATTCTCTAGCTATTTTGGAGACACCTGTGCCACTGTGGAATTGTTTGGAACAGTGTTGCAGGACCGTACAAATCTCATACATGTTTGTGTCCATTTGCTTCTTCTACATTAGATATCGGTACCGCTCTCTCTTGTCAAAGGCGTCTTGCGGCGGAAGTTGCACAGGCTCGTCGCAAGACATCCAGGGCTGTAAGCAGTTCAAGAACCAAGACTGCAAAGTGTCAGACTGGACTCTATTCACGCCATGCACCAGTGTGTGCGGCCTCGGTATGTACCACTGACACCGTCAGTTGAGGAACGGTGACATGGCTGTGTTCCGGTTTGCATCTATTATTACCTTGAGTGTTTTTAATCAACACAAACAAATCACGTGTGTTGTCCTTCCGTGGGCATGGTCACCGAGGCACGTGCATGATGGATTTGATGGGTGCTGCTCTTCACCGGAGTGTGAAGCATACATGTGGCTGTTTAGACAACACAGGACGGAAACCGTCTACATGTATGCGGGTGTTTTGTCCTGTGAACTCAGCACTTTTAACACAGGAATGAACGTACCAGACTCGGCTAAGTGTATCGAGCCAGAACGGTGAAAACTGGCTAATCATTATCATAATTATGTTCAAATGAAATCTGAATTGCAGGCAAGAAAACTCGCACACGGGCGGTGATTGTTCAACAGGCGTGTAATGGTAGAGCCTGTCCACCCACTTCGGATACACAGCCATGCACCGTTTATCAAGACAGAGACTGCAAGGTATGCGCATTGTCAGAGATTTCCTCCCTTTCCTTGGCACATAGTTCTCTAGCTGTTCATTACCATTTTAAGTTTTCTTTATCCATCACTGATGTTAAAACACCGTTTTCAAAAATCCTCTCATAAAGTTACTCACGGCGATGATGCATGTAACATGAATGCCCGGGTTCGAAAAATATTCACGCTGTTTAAAGGGTGGCATTGGAGCATGGTGCTTGTATTTGTGTGCATGCTGTGTTTGCGTGTGGTTATGCACGTGTACATGTGTGTGTGTATGTGTGTGAGTGGGCATGCGGGTATGCAAACGCGCTAGCCAATTTGGTTGGTGGATGCACTTTCCGGAGATAATGGTTGGGTGCGTTACCACCAGGCTCAACTGTTAAAGGTGTACTGGTGTACCTTTCACATTAATTAAATTTTGTTGGCTTCTGATACGTTGGTGTATATCCTTTCTAGAAGTGTGGCTACCTCTCAAGTGATAATTATTTTGTTCTGACTAGACAAGTGTGTGCATGTGTCTCTATGTGTACACTGCGCATGCATGTAAACAACAGGTGAGTCTGTGGGGAAAGTGGACAGCCTGCAGTTCACCATGTGCGGTTGGCTTGCAATTTCGCTACCGCAAGGTCACCCAGGCTGAACAGTGCAGAGGTCAATGCAAAGATGCTCTGTCGGTGAGTGTGGGGTGGGCAGGTAATTTGAGTGTGGGGTGGGCAGGTAATTTGAGTGTGGGGTGGGCAGGTAATTTGAGTGTGGGGTGGGCAGGTAATTTGAGTGTGGGGTGGGCAGGTAATTTGAGTGTGGGGTGGGCAGGTAATTTGAGTGTGGGGTGGGCAGGTAATTTGTACCTTGTTACGATAACTGTCAACATTCTCAGTTGTTGCTGTGTATAGCGTCTTGGTGCCAGTAAATCTTCACTTATGCTACTGTTCCATGCAAACTTCCAAATAACGGTGTATTCGAATAAACTTCACAGATTCCTTTTTGTACTGCCAATGCAAGACCAATGTTTGAGATTCTGGAACATAGGATGGAGGCTGATGGGTGATATCTTGCATGCTGTCCTACTGGGGGACCCAAGAACTTGAATTTGCTTAACTTGAATTGCTCGGCAAAACGTGCTTTTAGTTGAGAATGTTCTCAAACAAGTGTTCAGATGAGGTGCTAGTAGAGCAATGATGCAAAATGTAAGACTGTCCAGAGCCCCCTGTGAAAATGTGGCTCCCCCTCCTCATTGGCTTTTTTCCCCCGACAATTCAACGGAAATGCAATCGCCAATCGCTAAGAAAGGGCGTCATAAAGGCACACTTGTCTGGGTTGAAGTTGAGGGTTCGCTCCCGTACATTGCATTGCATGGCAAAAGACAGTTTTGGAAAATGGAAAAATTGGTTACGTGGTAACTGTTCCCCTGCCCCCCCCCCCCCTGCCCCTCCTCCTTCTCCTCCCTACTATTTTGACCTGGCTAGAACTCTGTTCATGATTGTATTTTGCAGGAAAGCCGTCCCTGTGGCACTGCGAACGGCGGATGCGATCAGGTTTGCAAGAGTGGCGTCTGTTCGTGTTCAAGTGGCTATGTGCTAAGCTCTGATCGGACGACGTGTGTCGCAAGATCGTGCGGTTCGCCGAAGATGTCGTCGTATTGTGCCCCAGGCATGCAGTGTATCAAATGTACACCAAAGTGCACAGGTACGCATCAAGGCTACCCTACTGGCATTGGGTTTCGGCGGTTTTCGGTTATCCACTTTGTTTGCACAGATTGATCATTGCCCTTCTTATACTTGTAAAAGCAGTGTGCGGAGTAACTGATGGGCCGGGTTCGAAAAACGACAAGGAGTCCCATCACACAATCTCAGGAAGCTGTCTTGGAGTAGCTCTGCAGTGTTGTTGATAGTTTTTGGCTTTGACTGCTACACTTGCACCAATGTAGGTTTACTGATGTGTGTTTCTAAATCACTCACTTACTTGTAGTAGGAGCACAAGTCTGAGAACTTTAGTCCCCCCTTTTTTTTGCAGGACACTTGACTTCACTCCTGACTGGTCAGTTTACTGTACAATTTCACAACCCACACCCATGGACCTCTCCCCAGTAATCTATTCCTTTGGTCTGCAACTAGCAGGGGAAAAAAGGCATAGTAGTGGTTCACCGATGGAAATGCTCCTGCTTTTCAAGACACCGTGTGGAGCCAACACAAACCCGGTGTACTATTGCTGTTTAATAATAATAAAATAAATTCGACGGGTTCACGTACCGGGCAGGTCAAGAACAAGGAGTCGTACAACTCCCTGGTCAAGAACCACCTTTCGGCTTCCGTGGGACGCCACCACCCCATGATCAGGCGTTAGATGCGGCTCCTAAACGGTGGGGTGGATAGATCAGATCCACCAACCATTTTTACTTTGCATAATCTCTATGCTAACAGGTACATTCTATGGATCTAGCTGCACACTATTATGTCCAAGTGGCTACACAGTGAAGGGAGGCTCAGCAACTACCCTCTGCCAGGCCACTGGTGTGTGGACAGACCACAGCACCACGCACTGTCAGCGCAACAACATGCGGCCAACACAGGTGAACACATTTCCCGATTAGCTTGTACCTGATTGCTGTGCTTGTGCATGCCACTGCCATCTGGCTTAGTTTGAGAGGTCAGGTGTGTTCACACCCATGCCTATACTATAGCAGTGTTTCGCACCAGCAAGACTTTGTCTTTTTCATCTGACAGCACGAGCCGGAGTTTCCAAGCATGGATAACGAGCCCTTACGAGCCCATAGCACCATTGAGTTGCCGATCTGCAGTCTTGATGGATTTTTCAGTGGTATTTACGAACACGAAGGGGTTCACAGATGAAGGTTGTCCCCTGAAGAGAACATTCTCAGGCACACTAACCGCATCAGGGTGCGTCTTCAGCTCTAGTTCCCCCTAGATTTCACCTGTCTCCTCGACAGCCATGTCACGGGCACGTAATGGCCTTCCACCTCCTCCACTAGGCAGCCCCGATGAGCCCTACATGTAGCATTTCAGTGTTAGATACTATTTCCTCCTCGTCATAATGATTGTATGAGCACAGCAGTGATGGAAGAAGCCTTTCCTTTTCCTTTTGTTTGTGCTCTAACCTTCACACTGAATGTTATGGTAGCCATGAATGACGATACTTGGCAGTATTATACAATGGAGGCGGAAATGTTTAGCTCGGAGTGGTCTAAACCAGGGTGCTAGCCAGGATATTCATCCAAAAAATATCATCAGCCAGGCTCAAACGACAGTGTTATGCCTAGAGAACATCGTATGCAGATTTCACAATCGATCTTCAACCGGGATCAGACTACAGTGGTATACCTAAATGACTGGTTAGCGTCAAAGTTATCTGCCCCTGCTAAAGTGATTTTGGTTGAGAGTTTTCTTGAAACAATTGCTGAGAACAGGTCTTTGTATGGCAAAGTAATGGCGCAAAATGCAAGACTATGTCCAGTACATTGCATATGGGCAGTTCTATCAATTGTCAAAATGGCCGCACATGCTCCTGTCGGAGCGCTAGCAATTCAGTCCAAAGTGAATCTTGACCATGGCACGTCGATCGTGGTGAGGACCTAATGTTTTTTATAAGGCTGCCATGGCAGTGGAATGCAAAATTCAATACTTTGCTTCCATGGTTACCATGGGCTGTTGCCATAGAATTTCGTAATAATGCCTTGTAAGATCATGTCTAAATTTTGTGGACTCCTTCATTAGCCTCTTTATAGCAAGAGTGTAGAGTCTATTAACATAGTTTTAGGTCAATATTAGAACAGAGGCCGTGCAGCATGTCTGTGTATGATGGTCCTACCTGTAGGTCCGGACCGAGGTCTATGCAAGCCATTATTAAAATGCTTTGCTGTTCATTAGAGTCCATTGCGATCAAATCAGCCGGTCACTCTGAGCTTTGCTGAGACCTAACAGTCGAAATGTCTGGCTATGAGGAGGCTGAGTATTATTTTGTATAATATATGCATTGGGAAAGGAATGACAGGCTAATAATAATGTAGGTATTTCTTAGGACACTACTCGTTAGGAGATTTTCAACGGTACAGATTTGATATAATTTTAAAGCAATACTTGGAGTCTAAATCCATAATTGATGGCCGTGCTTGGAGTCTAAATCAATAATTGATGGCCGCGTGCATTTCAGCCTAAAAATTACCAGTTGGACCATTGGTGGCTGTATATCTCTGCCTGATCAGCCGGACCAGTTCAAGCAGGTCTGACGTGTACTGACTTTCATTGTGTTTTGCATTGCCTCTCATTGATAGATCAAACTCTTACCATCATCACTGAAAGAGAATTCACCGCGTGGCACTAAAATTGGTTCATTCACAACAGCTGATCCAAACCCACGCGATTCTCACCGGTATACATTGACAGACACAGCGGGTGCTAGGTTTGTCATTGCTAATGGCAATGAACTTCGTTCGACATTTGTTCCCAATTTTGAAACGCAGCCACAGTCGTAAGTCGGGACCATATCAGCTACAGTTTTTTGTTAAGTAATGCTGTGGGGGTTGTTTGAAGTATCACCAGTACGCGCCGGGACCGGGGCGAGAGTACCTCCAGGGCTGGGAGTACCTCTTGCAGCCTCTCCTGGGGGATTGTGGTTATGTGAACCAGTGCAATTTGTACTCAAATCATATCGCAGATCACCAGCTCTCTCTGTCTCTCTCTCTCTCTGTCTCTCTCTCTCTCTCTCTCTCTCTCTCTCTCTCTCTCTCTCTCTCTCTCTCTCTCTCTCTCTCTCTCTCTCTCTCTCTCTCTCTCTCTCTCTCTCTCTCTCTCTCTCTCTCTCTCTCTCTCTCTCTCTCTCTCTCTCTCTCTCTCTCTCTCTCTCTCTCTCTCTCTCTCTCTCTCTCTCTCTCTCTCTCTCTCTCTCTCTCTCTCAGGTTTATGCACATGTGTGTCTGTCTACGTGTGTCTGTGCGCGTGTTTGTGTGTTTGTGAGCATTTGTGTGGATATGTATTTTTTCAATACTCCTGTCCAAGATATTCAATCACTGTGAAGAGCACGGACTCTGGTGGATTGTCTGTGTCACAGACAATACCCATCACGATCAATGATATCAACGAAAAGCCTACCAAGTGCTCGGTAAGCTCGTGAAGTGTATTTTGTAAAGTACATCAAATTAATTCTTCGCCTCTCAACCTTTTCACCAATTTCTAAGACCTGCTGCAGCTGCTGCTGCTGATGCTGCTGGTGCTGGTGCTGGTGCTGCTGCTGCTGCTGCCGGTGCTGCTGCTGCTGCTGGTGCTGCTGCTGCTGCTGCTGATGCTTACCAGTTTACTCAAGGACTGCGTCTCTTTCAAGTATATTTATAATGGCAAAAAAGGAATGAAATTGGTTGCTACTGATGTTGGAAAGGATCACATTTTCACATTAATAAGAGCATTTCCTCCTGCTGTTTTTCTTGCTCCTAGTTGTCTTCCAACACGATGAGGGAAAACCCGTATTTGAACACAGTCATAGGCAAGCTAGCCACGGTTGACCCAGACTATGGGCAGACATTCACCTACTCACTCCTGGACTCTGCTGGAGGAAAATTTAAATTATCAGGCAACACACTTCAAGTAAGTCAACTTCATGATAATTATATTTTTCAATTCTTTGTTCCTGATTAAAAAGAACTGTTCATCTCTATTTATGAGTCGGACACTGTGTTTTCTAATGGAGCTTGTCTTGACGTATTATTGTGTGAGCAGAATCTCTGGAAGTGCCAGGTATAGTGAACTGCCAAAAAGTGTAATACTAGAGAGAGCTGATGGCTGTGTGTATAACCCCTATTGCCCAATTGCAGGTTGCACAGTCCAACGCACGTTGTCTCAGTGAAGGCGGCAGCAAGTGTATCTTCAACTACGAGTCCTCCACCAACAACAGGTTCTCAATCACTGTCAGAACAACGGACAGTGGCCGACCACCTCTGTACCATGATTGTACACTGAGTGTGCTAGTTACTGGCAATGTCAATGACCAGCCGAGGAACCTGACATTATCTGGATACACCATACTGGAAGGCAAACCAGCTGGAACAACTGTTGGTAAGCGGAGTGCCTAAGTTCAGCAACATACATGTATGCATCCAAGGAGTAGTGCACTGGGGGAAGGGAAAATTCCCGTTTCCTCATTAATGTTCAACATATACTGGCCATCTACTGAATGTGGTATATTTATGGCCGTGTCGCTCCAGGTGGCTTTTATGCATGGAATGTAATACAGAGCCGGATCAGCAGAGCATAGAGTACATTGTGACTTTGCCACAATAGGGCCAAAGCTGATCACGAGATCACGAGAGCAAAGATCATGTTCATCGATGTACTGCTAGTCCCCTCTCATCATTCCATCAGAGATACCTGAAGTGGCAAGGCAGGAGAATGAAAATTTCAACAGGCTGAGCTGGAAGAGGTCTAGTAAGCATGAACAAGCTAGCACACAATCCTGATGCTCATGTCCCGGAGTTGAGGAGGATGTGGAGACTTTGTTTGCACTTGTAGCCCACTGAAACCAACTACATGCAGGGTTCTAGCCAGGTCCAAATAGTAGGGGGAGGGGGGGGGGGGGGCAGGGAAAACAGTCACTAGTACCCCGTAACCCATTTTCCATTTCAAAACAACTGTCTTGCAATGCGAAATGCAAAGTACGGAACGAACACCTGACTTCACTAGACAACTGTGCCTTTATGAACCCTCTAGTACTGACTATCGACTGCATTTTCGTTGAATGCCATGAAAAAACACAAAACTCGGAAAATGAGTAGGGGCGGCACTTTTCACAGGGGCACGCAAACAGAGTAGGGGGGGGGGGGGGGGTGCTACGCCCCCCCCCTCCCCTTTGGCTAGAACCCTGACATGTACATGTTGTTTCAGCTGGGCCATAGATTACCCCACTTCGAGACAGGTTTTTAATTTTTTGGGAAAATCTGCTTTCAAAGAAAGCCGGCTCTGAAAGAGCAATTTGCCCAAAAAGCAATGCACATGCTTACCAGTGTAAAGAGCAAGCGATGTGCAAGCGATGTGCATTGTGTTGCTGCCCAGGTGTTTTATCAAGTGATGATGAAGACGTAGGCCAGGTGATCACCTACACTCTCACCAATAACGCTGGTGGTGCGTTCACGATCACCGGCAACCGGCTCGTCTCCCGCAAGCCACTGGTGTTTGCTTCCAAAGGCATTTACAAAATCACCGTGCGAGCCACTGACAGTGGATCACCCAAACTGTTTGTAAGTTCCGAGAGAGAATGCTTCTTTATTAGTGTTGAGCACATGTGTGAGCACCAGACCTGCACATGCGTGTGAAGTGAAGTCTTGCCATTCTGAAAGGTGGCCTACCGTAACCTTAGCAATACCGTAACCTTAGCAATACTGCACACATGCAGGATACACAGACCTTTTGCTGCACTCCATGCTTGTATCATCTGATACGTCAAAAACAGGGTGACATCAGCTTGGCTGATAAGGCTTAAACGTTATGCCTTGTTCCAGGGTGTGCCTGATCCAGTCGATGCCTTTTGCTTGCGATTCTCTTTCAGGTCGAGAAACCGTTCACTGTAACGGTCAAGGATGGGGTTGAGCCACCCATTCAACTCCAACTCACATCATCAGGTACAAATATAGTTCTAGTGTATCCACATCTCTTTTAGAATGATTACCACAGCACCACAGCACCATCATCTCTGATAAGACCTCTCTCCCGAATAGGCAGCGCAGAGATAACAATCGTGATTATGGTGATGAATAATATTTCAAAAGTGCCCACTCATATCACAAACTCTCTCCCAGATGATCCGATTTCTGCTGCAACATTGACTCTAAAGTTTAGCTATTATCACACTGACTTATTTCTGATGAATGTCTCTAGAAAACTTGTTAGGAAATTTCATTATCCATATTTTATTCTTGTTGATTGCTGCGTCCAATGTCCGGTTCGCTGATTCTGATTCTTCACTATAATGCCATCATTATCACACTTTACACAGTCTCGTGTAGTAATGAGGATTTTCCCATGTACATTTGTTTGTGTTTTGTTTGACTAGGCGGCCAGGTGTCCTTTCCAGTGAACAGGCCAACCATTTGGGAAAATGTTGTCAAGAACACTGTTCTTGGAACCGTCACAGCTGATGACCCCGACGCTAAATCCACAATCAAGTTTAGCTTGGATAACGATGCCGGTGGTCGCTTCTCCCTAGGGCAGCAGACCAGTGTGTGCACATCAATCTCTGGCGTGTTGGTAAGTTGACGTGTACAGATGTCCTGGGCCGATATTCACATAGTGCAACATTGGCGTATTTCAGGGATTTTCGAATACTTTTGGTTCATCCTTGCTGCTGAGGAGTATATTTCAGCGTATGTATTCTTGATTCGTTGCAAAGTTTGGACCTAATGAATATTTTCACAAAAATCTTCTCCGGTTCGTATTTTCTTTTGCCGGCGCAGGGAGCTGCGAAAACAAGATGTTCTGCCACGATAATGGTGTCTGGTATACTGGACCATGAACAAGACGCTTTGCACACCATTGTTGTCAGGGCGACCGACAACAATGGCCTTTTCATCGTCAGAAAATTCTCCGTCAAGGTCCAGGACGTAAACGATGTGCCAACGGTATGTATTTTGCACTTTGATATAGCTGCAACTCAGTAGATATTATTAACTAAACCGTTTCCACTCGCACTGGGGGTTGGTAATGTACAGTGCTGCTCAATGAAATCCAGTCGAGTTTCTCAAGTACGCGCCGGGCGTTGCGCGGCCCTAGACCTGTGGACACTGGGCTGCGAAAAGGTGCACGGCGCCAACTTGACTCTCGCGACTGGGTTATATTGAGCACCACTGTAATTATGTGTCAGTGGTTTCTTATTATAGTTCATCCAATCAAGCCAAAAGCTTTGTAGTACATTATTTTGTGTACGTCGTGTGCAGGTGGTGTCGGTGCATGCACGTATTGCTGTTGTGTGGACGGCAGTCTTCGTCCTGGGTTTTCATGTCCAGTTGTGTTTACTCATAGTAAAGATGCAGCCTTTCCTATGCAGTCCTGTGGTCAATTGCTTGAGTGTGGAGATGGCACTGGCCAGGGAGCAGGTAGAATTAATTCGAGTTACAACATAAGTTTAAGGACATATTGTTAAAATGTGTGGACACGAGAGTGAGGCTGGTAGTTACTGTTGTAGTTGCCTTTGTGGGGATATCAGCTCATTCCCAACCTGACGACATTGCCATGTTGGCGAAAGCCCAATGTGCTTTCTTTTTTGGTACTATCTTTTTTTCACTTGCTTGTCATTCACAGGATATCTCAGTTGCTGGCGGAGTTTTGCAGGTCAAGGAAAACCTGAACAATGCTGTTATCGCGACATTCAGCACGTCAGACCAGGATCCAGCTCACACACATACATATTCATTGACTGTCAACCCAGGTTCAAAATTCAAGTTTGTGGGAAATCGCCTGATGACAACTGCCTCTGCTAACTTAGATTATGAAAAGAAAAAGATTTATGCGGTGGTGGTACGCAGTACAGGTAAATCTCCTTCTTCAAAATAATACCAATATCCCCGGTCTCTATCCGTCAAACCTTGAGACTACAAGTTGAAGTCTACCCTTCGTGCTCTGTTGTCCGACCGATCCGTGCGATCTTCGATCTTTAAATTGGCTTCTGAGAACATTGATTCTCACCATTGGACTTGTAGTGCATAGTGTATGAAACTATGGTTTCTGCTGGTGTACAATGTGTAGTCACTGTAGATTTGCCCATGTTGAATTTTGCGAATGGGACCTACTTTCTACTCGTTGACTGAAGGCATACGGTATTTGTCTGCATGTTGGAACCGTCTCCTCCTCTAGAACCTCGCATTCTGCTCTCGAAGCGTGGGTAATATACCCATCCCGCTGATTTAAGCCACACTGCACTTGAATGTGGCTTGTTTAAGTTGTGCCTATGACTGGGGGTTGCGGGTGACTGATGTGTTTTGCTACAATGTTCATAGATTCTGGCAAGCCGGCTCAGTATGTTGAGAAGTCGTTCGTAATTCGTGTAGAGGATGTGAATGAAGTACCTACAGCAGTCTCTCTTAGCACGAACAAAGTAAGTCAATAATGCATACAAATATGCACTGTGCTAAACTATCCATATGAACTCCAAGATCTGGATGCGTCATATACGGGTAGTATGGGTGGACTTGCTGTCATGCTGGAATGGCTGATATCCTGCCTAGTAGTATGGGTGGACTTGCTGTCATGATGAACTAGCTGATGACCTGCCTAGGAATGGAGAAAGATTCGGAGTACGTACAGCACATGTGTGTTCTTAGGTCTGTGGAATTCTAAAATCTGGTCTCCCGCAGGACCGAAGCCGGGGAAGGAATATGCAATGTGTGTGTGTGTGTGTGTTTGTGTGTGTGTGTGTGTGCGTGTGCGTGTGTGTGTTGCTTCAGGTCGATGAGAATGCAGCACTGAACACTCCTATTGGTACACTGAGCACATTGGACCCAGACAACTCGCCAACCCATCGGCAGACATTCACATACATCTTGCTGGACAGTGCTGGAGGTCGATTCATGCTGTCTGGAAGCTCTCTTGTGGTGAGCTCAGGATCCATTGTTAATAGTCAAGAGCTAGCTTTGTTCTCGTTTTAAGTGGCTCCACTCATCCCGGTAAAATTCACCTTCAAACTTTTCATACTTCAATGCTCTAACCTTCTGGGCTATGGGACCAGACCAGACCAGACCTAGACGGCAAACTTTGAACTCAATAGGCAGCTCAAAGCACGTACCACACAGGGACCAACCACAGTCAGTTTCTGGAATGTAGCACCTGAGGTAAAAGAAAGTGCTTCACTTTTAAAGGATCGGGAGAACAAAATTAAAAGCAGGGACGTCGGAACCGGTGTGGCAGGAAATATGAAATGAAGTATGGGCTATTTGGGCCCAATTTCCCTAAAAGTTTCCCAAGGGGGGGGGGGGGGGGGGCTGGACTCCCACCTACTCATGCGGCCGCACCAATGTCGAATACCTTTTCCGACGCCCCTTAAAAGGATCAGCCGGGGAAAAGGATTGCCTGAAAAGATGAACAAAATGCCTACCCTAGCAGGACTCAAACCTGGAACCTTGCTTGTACTGGGCAAGGAGGGGCGGAAAAAGACCCAAGTGCCATCAGTATGTGTGACATGTGTTGTGAACTGCCTTAGACGCGTAACAACTTCTAAGTCCAACTTCTAGGCTTCAACTTCTAGGTCCAACTTCTAGGCTTCAACTTCTAGGTCCAATTTCTAGGCTTCAACTTCTAGTCTTCTAGGTGAGGGGGAGGGGGGTAGGTCCTCTTCCAGGTCCGGCCTGGTCCCATAGCTCAGCTGGTTAGAGCATTGCTCATGACAAGCAAGGGGCCGGGCTCAAAAGTACTGGTAGGTTGGCCTTTTTCTCTGTTCAGGCAGTTCACTTCTCCAATGGATCCTGTTGAATTTGAAGTTCCCTAATCCTTTGAAAATTCAATTTTTGTTTTGACCATTGAGGGGAATTGTCATTTTATCAGAGCTATGCAGATCACTGCTCCCTTAGTTGCCATGATGGTTGTGCCTTACACCTATCTTAAAGCATCCTTTCTTGATATGCGTAGGCTAAAAGTACGTACCATCCGATTTCATGTAACACCAGTCAGTGTGGTCTGTGATGCTAGAACGTCACATCAGGTGTCAAACCTATGAACACTGTGCACCGCCGTGCATGATAGCCACAGGCCTGGGGCACAATCCTGCTTTGGGCACAACTCTCTTCTGTTCACTTTGCACGGTGTTCTAGTGTGAACCATGATTGAACCATACCAGGTAATGGTCAACACTGGCATCGCAGCGCTGGATAGATGTAGCATGGCAGTTGCACACTCTTGGGGTTATGGAGTCTCTGTATGATATGTATACGGGTCTTTGAAGATGGCTGCATGACCTACGCATGTGGTGAAGTCAATCTGATGGGGTCGTGCAAGCCAAACTCGAAATTGTAGTTCATGTGCATGCTGTTACTTTGATCCGTAGCACACCGTTTCATCTTGGGCTCTTGGAATGTATTGTGTGTGAATCTTTTTTTGTGGTGTATTTGTCTGGTGCGCTTGTTCACTTCAAGGTTGGAGCGTCCAACATCAAGTGCTTGAAGAACGGCAGATCATACTGTCAGCTGAATTTTGAATCATCTTCCAGTTTTAGTGTCACAGTTAAAGTTACCGACAGTGGATCACCTCCGCTCAGTGCAACTTTCCCGCTTACCATACAACTAAACGATATCAATGATCAGCCAAGGCAACTTACCATAGACAATACCATTGTAAGTAGTGTCTGAGTGCATGGCCTAATGGATAAGGTGTCTGACTTCGAATCAGATGATTAATGGTTTGGGTTCCATTGTAGGCATTCCATGCTTCCCTTCTCGTCAGACGGAGAACATGATTGAAATCCAGAAAGGCAGTATATACCATGGAGTAGTGCGCTAGGCTCTTCTGTGAATTTTCAATATTGTAGATGCGCACTAAAAATTTTAATTTATGGAAATGTCTTGGACTTTGGGAGCTCACGATTGGACCTCACTTAATTTATTTGGTTCTGACGTCATTGGAGGTGTGTAGATGCGGTTGGACTTGTCAATCAGTTTCCCAACCAAGCGTCCCAATGCTATTATTGCAACAACAACAAAGTGAGCATGCTTGAGTTGCCGGCTCATCGGTGCCTGATGTTAACGCAGGCTTTCACTGAATGATATACATGTACAGTC